CCTGGAAAGTTCTTCCCCAGACCCCTGCATTGTTTATCGCCATTCTTCCCATCCCAGGCTAACAGCACATCCCCAAATAGGCCCTTCCTCCCAGCGTATCTCCAGGTGCCCGATCCCTCTCCCATCTCCTCAATCCCACAGTCCTGTTTCAACTCTGCCCCTCTTGCACCGTGACCCACAGGATCTGGAGAGAACACCTGATCAGCAGTGTGACATCAGAGTCCTCAGTGCAACAGACCCTGGTCACATGCTTCCTCAACACCAACCTGCAACTGGGCCCAGCCACTAGAAGATAAAAAAGCCTCTGTGAGGTTGTGGTGCTTCTAACCCAAGCATTCTTTGGCATTCATTTGCTCTCATGCACGCGTGCATGTGTGTATGTGCTCGTTTATGCCTGCATGCTTGCAAATGTGTGTAAGGGGGGATGCGCTGGAAGTGAACCCAGGACACTTGCTCACTGGTAGGCATTCTACCACTGAGATCTGAACCCTGGTTCCAGGCTTTCAGATAGGTGAGCATCTCTGACATTCATCTGGCCTTGGGTAGGGTTGCAATGGTGTGGTTGTGAAGAAACCCAAGGTAGTGTTTTGTTCATTCCATCCTCTCTCCCCTGTGGGCCTTAGAGCTTTGCTCAGCTGGGCAGCAAGGCTTACATCAGAATGCACCTTGAATGTGTTTTCTGGCCTCAGAAGAACATCATGGTTGAAGAGGTGACTCCGTAAAGCACTTGCCATACAATTATGAGGACCAGAGTTTGATCCCCAGAACACGCATGAAAAAGTGACACATGGCTACCCACTCAAACCTGTGCTCAGGAGGTAGAGACGAGAGGAGCCCTGGAGCTCCCTGGCTGACCAGCCAAGCCTAGTTCACTCTGTGAACACTCCACCCAGTGGAGAGGCCCTGTCTTGAAAAAGCAGGGTGGCGTACATCTTTAATCTGAGCACTCAAGAAGCAGAGGCAGGTGGATCTCTGAGTTCGAGGCCAGCCTGGTCTACAAAGCAAGCTCATGGACAGTCAGGGCTGCACAGAGAGACCCTGTCTTGAAAACTGACTAACCCCCAAAAAAGGCAGAGTGGAGTCTGCAGAGATGACTCAGTGGTTAAGAGCACTGTCTGCTATTCCAGAGGACCCAGGTTTGAGTTCCAGAATCCATATAGTGGCTCACAACCCCCTGTAACTCCATTCCCAGGGGCTCTGATATCCTTTTCTCCCCTCCAAGGGCACCAGGTATGCCCACTGTGCATAGACATGTATGCAAAACACTCATATGCATAAAATAAAAATTAATCTCAAAATAATTTAAAGTGGGGGCTGGAGAGATGACTCGGTGGTTAAGAGCACTGGCTGCTCTTCAGGAGGACCAGGGTTCAATTCTCAGCACCCACATGGCAGCTCACAACTGTCTAACTCCAGTTCCAGGGGATCCAACACCCATGGCAAAACACCAATGCTCATAAAATTTAAAACTAAATAAAAATTTTAAATGTAAAGCAAGGCAAACATCAGTTGAGAAAGATGTTTAACAAAGACTCTGGCCTCTACATGGACACACATGTGCATGCTCCAACACCACACACACACACACACACACACACACACACACACACACACACACACACACGGCAGCTATTTTCTGAGGTTTGAGAGCCTACTGACCAGAGTCACCCAGGAAGCTCAGTTTCCGAGCTCATGGTCTCCTTACTCATAGTCCCTGTCAACCTTTCATTTCCTTGGGCTCTCTGTTATCTGTTCCAAACACTTTCAAATTTGCTTACTTTCCTAATCTCTCCTCTGCTGGCAACGCTGGTGTTTATCTTGTGGGCTGTGCCTCTGCAGCTCATGTCTCCTCCCCATGAGCCTTCATTAGAATTTTTCAAATGAAGACCTTTTCTGCCCCCTCGAGAGAGCACGCTGGATCCTTCCCACACCACACGTTTTTAATTCTTATCACGGGACTTCAGGCAGTTTGTACATTACATCCTATTAAAAACCTCAATTCCACTTGAGGTTGTCACAATTCAGAGATTACAGTGTTCTGTAGGGTGTTCTGCCAGGGAGATATTCATATATTCACTTTGTTCGCCGGCAGACTCGGTGCGTGAGCCTGTATTTCACACCTCATTTGATACCACAATGAGACCGACGTATAAAAAGAAGCAATTATTTATTTAGATTATGGAATGGTTTCAGAGGGATATTCGATTATGTAATGGTTTTAGAAGGATATTCCTAGGTATAAACCGCCATGCTGCTGTTCTTCAGCCTGGAGTTGGTGGGGGGATTGAGGGGCTTGGAGGGGGTCGAGCATTGAGCATGAAGGAGGCATACAGAAAAAGTCATTCAGATGGGAGCGCTTCTCACTTACAAAACGGCCTCCTCTTTCCCATGTAGCATTTTTTAAATTTCTTCTGGAGAGAAAAAATAAATCACAAAACCAAACAATGACAACCACTTCTGAAGAATAGCCCGCTTCTTTCCATGTGAAACACAGGCACGAGCTGGCGAAGACGGGGCAGAGGGCATGAGGGGCTTGCTGCAAAAGCCTAAGGGCCTGACTTCCAATCCCCAGACTCCGTATAAACAGCTGGCCATGGAACCCAGGCGCTGTGGGGGTGTGGAGACAGGAGGATCATTGTGGCTTGCCAGCCACCAGCCAGATTCAGTGGGAAACCCTGTCCCGGGAGACTGATAGAGCGTGACACCCAGCATCCTCCTCTGGTCTCTATGGGCACACACAAGCACATATGCCACACACACAAGCAAAACGTAGTCATTCCGCCAATAGAGCATTTCTACACAATTTATTTCCTCAGTGTACGCCATGGAGACCATCATTAAAGGCCCAGTATCCCAAATGTAGAACTAGGAACCCCCCTCCCTCCAGCCCAATGTCAGAATCAGTAACATTACACTTACTGGTGTGCTTTAGTCTAAATCCTGTCACCACCAGTGTGCGTGACCTCCAAAGCCCCTCTGTGTTCCCACTCTGCCCAAAGCCCTTGGAGGCACTAATCCAAACCCTGGCTCTGAGTTGATGTGGGTGGACATAGGATCCAAGTTATTCCAAGAAGAGCCCGAGACAGCCATCCTGGGGCTTATAGCCAGACTTAACTAGGAAAAACAATTACTCCCTAAAGTGACCATGTGCTCAGAGGGACACTGGGAGTCCCTAACCACTACACTGCTCCCAGGAGGGAAGCACAGCCAGGGAGGAACCAGGGAGGGGAGACAGGTTGAGGGGCAAACTCAGAGTACCAGAGCCTCACTTCTGATGCAGGGAGATGGGCTCTCCCAATGCAGCTATAAGCACACCATCCCCCTGTGCGAAACAGAATAGAGCTACAGCCCTGGGCGGAACCCACCTTTAAATGGTGTAGCCACTGTGGCCACTGACTACCCTCTCTCTCCCCTCAAGCCCTGGAAAACACCAGAAATTGCCCACCCAAGCCCCGTCTGCACCTAGGCAGGGAGCCCTCTGTCTGTTGCCTAGATCTAAACCAAAGACTGGCTTTGGGGAGCAAGGAGAATCAGGAGACACTCCACTCCTTTCCAGTATTTAGATATTGCTGGGTGAACGTGTGATGCCTAGAAGAGCCGCAACCATCTTGCAGCCATGAGGAAACCAGCCGGAAGACGGCCAAGAGGCCACACGGAGCGCTGCTGTGTGAACAGCCACCTCTGTTTTGCTCTGTGAGACAGTGAATCCCTTTACAGCACCCGCTTTGGGGGAATGACCTGTGGCTTTGCAACTAGAAGCCCTTATGTCAGTATTAACGACTCGGGACCCAGGGTACCCAGCAGGCACATTCAGATACACAGGGAAGCCCTGGTCCTGTGATGTCACAGCTCACACTCCATTCTCCACACTGTCTGCCCCAAAGGGTGCGATTGATGAGTTTAGAAGGGGAGACATCACAGCCAACATCACAACCAACATCACACCGCCCAACCTGAGTCATTCCTCCTCCTTGGAGACCTTCAAAGGAAACACAATAAGGTTCTGGGGTTGCCTGGGGTCACATGAGAAGTGACAGCACGTGCTAAGCAAGTCCATGGAAAAGGCTCACCCCTCCCCCCAGCCTCCACCTCTCCCACTGCCCCCACTCATGGCGCATGCTGAATCATCCACGAGCCCCATGTGTCTCCTGGCCCCCAAAGAACCAAAAGCCAGCAAGAAAGAAGAGAGATCAGGACAATTTACAGTGACGAGTGCCGCATCGGCCAGGGCACTAGACGGCATCTGAGCTGATGGTGCACTCAGCAGCCACTCACCCAGCACTGCTCCTTGGCCCAGGGTGGGAGGCTGGCAGACAGACAGACAGACAGACAGACAGACAGACAGACAGACAGACAGACTCTCAGTAGGGGAACAAAGTGGAGGCAGAGACTGGATAGGGGCTGTCGAGTCCATCCCCATTCCCCCAGGAGTGGGCTCCACGCAGCAGAAATGGCTCATTTAAATAGCCAGAGGCCTGAGATGGTTCAGTGGGTAAAGGTGTTTGCCTCTTATGTGTGATGACTTGAGGTGAACCCCAGGAGCTCATGGGAGAAAAGATGAAGCAACCCCTGAAATCTGTCCTCTGACCTCTACATGCACCATAACACACAGACTGACAGACAGACACAATAATAATAATAACAATTTTAAAATGAGCAGTGAGAAACAATTAGCTGATAACCGTGAGCAACCCTGTTTGCTTATTAAAAAGAAAATCTCCCTCTGGCTCTTTAATTGATTCATCCCCCCCCCCCATCTCAACCTTCCGTTCTTCGTGGAAACAATGACAACTAGAGTAACAATACAGTGGTGGTCAGACTCCGAACTGTGATAAATGAAAGAGGGTCGTTTAGGGACAGGCAAGCCCACCATGCATTGTGCAGAAAGGATGGATGGTCCAGGCTACAGTGAGCCCTGCGTTGCCTGCACCAGGCTGGCGAGTCCGAAGGAAGGTCCACACACCATGCCACGGGTGTTACTCTGTCACCACGGGGCTCACCTGCTGTGTTTTTCCGGGTGGTGTCCCACGCAGGACAGGGCTGCTGTGGTCTGGGTACCGTCCTGCTCAATCTCCTCCTGCACCGCCCACTGGTTCTCGTTGCTCACCCGCACGGCTGTGATCTTCACGCCCGAGGCAGCCTTGATTCTATGACATAAGAAGAAAGTAGATGCGTAAGAAAATAGGGTTCTCCCGGGAGGCAGCCTCTGTACCATGTAAAGATCTCCTTCCCTGAGGGCTAGAGGGAAGGGAGGCTGTGAACAGCTTTCCCCTAAGACTGGTCTTAGGGACTGAGCAAGATGACTCGGTGGGTGAAGACACTTGCTGCAAACCCTGACGGCCCGAGTTCAGCATCCAGAACTTCCACAAGGTGGAAGGAAAGAACCAACTCCCTCAAGTTGTCCTCTGACCTCTGGACACCATCATGGTACAGGACCCACCTCCATACATACAAAACTTTTAAAAAATGTAAGAAAAAAATCCTGATATTTTGAGACAGGGTTTCTCTGTGTAGCCCTGGCTGTCCTGGAACTCACTCTGTAGACCGGGCTGGCCTCTAATTCATAGAGATTCTCCTGCCTCTGCCTCTCAGGTACTGGGATTAAAGGTGTGTGCCACCACTGCCCGGCTAAGAAAAAATGTTAACACTGATGTGTTCCAAGCCATGTGCGGTAGCTTCGATGAGGAAACACTGAGTCTGGAAAGCTGAGGCTGGAGAACTGCTACAAGTTCAAGAACAAGCTGGGCTATATACTGAGACCCTGTCTCAGCAACAAATTAGCAAATAAATAAATCCTGGACTTTTCACGAGTGCCACAGCATGTGGCCACGCACCTCCCCATTCTGTCACTGGCTTTGAAATTAATCATTTTGTGCACATTTTATCTTACTAATAAAAAGAGAGGCAAGGGTCAGCAAGATGGTGAAGACACTCACCAACATGCCTAAAGACCTAAGTTCAATCCCTGAGGCCCACACGGTGGAGGGAGAGAATAGGCTCATGCATTGCATCCTCTGAGACCCAGGGGTGCACCATGGTGCACACACTCAACACATAGCCGCTAAAACACACATGACCATAATTTTACAACGGGACGAGGAACGAGGAGATAGGTGAGTGACCATCTAAATGACAAGTGGGGGAGGGGTGGCGTCTGCACTGAGGTACCTGAGAGGGCCAGGAAGGGAAAGGAAGGAACCCCTTTCCCAGCAGGGTGGGCAACGTGGGTGACATCTGGGCACAAGACCCATCCTGAAGCCTGGCTCTGTCACCTGCCTTGAGGAATCTGGAGTGGACTCAGAGACGCCAAGCCCTACATGTCCGTCAGCTACAAAGAGGGGACTCTGCCGCCCTCTCCCTTTCTGTGGCCACCCCAGGTCCAGCCTGAACGGCACACTCCGGAGGCTCCAGTGTCACCTGTCTGCCACACACAACCCACTCCTGCATCTGATCGTTCTTCCTGCTGGAGTCTGGTCTTAATCTTGCCTTCCACAAAGCTTTTTTTTTTCTCAATACCATAACATCCTAGGAGTCAATTTATGCATGCCATGAACAGAGGCGTCCTGTTCCACCCCTGCCCTCCATCAAAGGAACAAGGGAAGAGAATGCTCCAGAACCTGTGTCTACATTCAAAGTCCTTCTTATTGACACTGCGCCCTCTGCCCTGTGGGTCCTCACTACTCTAACAATCCACATGGACCTTTCCCAAACATAAGGTGGCTCAGAGCCCTTCCATCAAGCCACTGGTGGTTGAATTCAAATACGCAAGTACTAACTACCCCCTGGAGACCTGACTGGGCTTCTAATCCCCCTCTGCTAAGCATCCTGGGCACTACTGTGAGTCTCCAAACAGAATCTAGCCACTCCCTTTAGATATTTCCTAGTTCTGATTCTGGGCAGAAAATTCTTCCCACCTCCCAGGGCAAAGTCAAGGTCTCCCTTCACCATAGGGAATCTATTTGTCTCATGAGGCTGCTCTAGGGGACAACAGACAACCAGCAATGTCCAGGTTATGGTAGTGCAACAATTATGTGTTCTCTCTCTCTCCTCCCCCCTCTCTCTCCCTCCCTCCCTCCCTCTCTCTCCCTCTTTCTCTTTTGTGCATGTGCACACACACACACACACACACACACACTTCTGGTTTATGCTGCCAAGCTTTGGAAGGATGCCCCGTCCCCCAACTCCTTCAGACATCTGATCCTGTTCAGCTCTCATGCAAGAAGCCCCATCCTACAATGAGTTCTCTCACGGCCACAGGGTGGCTGTTAAGAGATCCAGATCCCACATCCTCACCCAATGGGATGGACTGGGAGGAGCGGAGGTGGGAGGAACTGCGTTCAGGATGCAAAATAAATAAATTAATGTTAAAAAAACTACCGTATAAATATACTGGCTACTTTGTTTTGAATAAACTATGAATAAAATCCCACACTGCTGAAAAGGGGAAGGAAGAAAAAAAAAGAAGATCCTCTTTCTGAGAAGAAAACCCCTAAAGCCAGCTTTTACAGGCCGAATTTGACGGGTTTGTTTGTAATGGGTGAGGCTAATCCCACATTAAGAGGGTTTAAGAAGAAAAGGATGCTGAAAAGAAATTCAAGTTACAGCAGAAGAAATGCATGCTGGGTATTAAAAACACTTGTAAAGCCAAAACTGTTGATATGCTGCCCATCTCTTAAGCACAAGTTATGAAACTCTTCTTAAATTTCATCTTGGTCTCCCAACTCAATCCTACTTAACTTCAGGCTATATTTGTTAAAGCGATTTAAGCTCAGAGAACTTCAGGTCTTAAATATTCACTAACCTTGTTTTAACCAAAAAAAAAAAAAACACTTCAGGCTTGGGGATATTCTTAGCACTCGGTATTTTAAAACTACAATATCCAAAGCTATGTGGAAGAGATTAGTGACCCCACTGCTGTGGTGAGCTGGAGGTTCCCCAGGCTAAGCAAAAAGTTACCACCACAAAGTGTCCAGGAGGGTTAGCCAAGAGACCCGGTGACAGACAAGCACACAGGGAAGTCTTCCAGGGAATAAAGTTATCAAAGGGTGGTGCTTGGGGGCTGGGGAGAGGGTTCAGTTCGTAAACTGCTTGCTGCTCTTGCAGAGGACCCCGGTTGGGTTCCCAGCACACAGGTCAGTAGGTTCACAACCACCTCTAACTCCAGCTCCAGGGAGATCTGACACCCTCTTTTGGCCTCTGCGGGTAACTGCATGGACATGCACGTAGAGACAGGTGCCCGAATTCATCTACCAGGTATATGGAGGTCAGCAGAGGCAAGCCATCCTGAGAACCCATATTGAACGACAATTTAAACTCGAAAGATGGCAGATAAAAGAATCCAGATGATGAGACCTCTGAGCACCTGCTGCATGGGGCCTGCCGGGACACCCACAGAGCAGATGGGGGGGTCTCCCTCCTGTGCTCTCCACGTGGGTGCTGAAAACATGGAGCCTCTTAAGGAACAGGCAGATCTCTGGGAAGCATGGAGCTCGGCTCCAAGAACAGGGATGGGCAGGCTTTCTGTGCACGGGTATGAGAATCCCCAGCAGCACATACCCATTTTAGGGAGGTCAAGCAAGGTGGGCGCCACAGGGGGAAAGTATCCAAGTGCTGACCTTCCGCCTAAGCTAAGACTTACATTTATTTATTTATTGGTTGCTTGTTTGCTTGTTTGATACATGGTCTCACTATGTACCAGTCCTGGCTGTCCTGGAGCTCGCTATGTAGACCAGACTGGCCTAGAACTCACAGAGATCGGCCTGCCTCTGCCTCCCAAGTTCTGGGACTAAAGATGTGTGTCACCACACCTGAGTGTGTGTGTGTGTGTGTGTGTGTGTGTGTGTGTGTGTGTGTGTGTGTATCAGTATGGTCAGTGACACTCCCATCTGCGTTCTTTGTCATACAAGCCGACTGACTTTTCCCATTACTGTGACAAAATATCTCATAAAAGCTATTTTCAGAAAGGGGGTCTTGCTTTGATTTACAGGTTAAGGGCACGGTAGAAAGAGATGGATGCTGGTGCTCAGCTCGCTGTCTCCTTATTTTTCATTCCAGGTCCCCAACCCATGGGATGGGGCTACCCACATTCAGGGCAAGTTTTCCCACCTCAATTAGCCTGATCTGAAAACCCCATCATAGGTAGGCCCAGAGCCTTGGCTCCTAAGTGACGATAAATAATATCAAGCTACAACATTAACCATCACACTAAGCATGCCTGAAGGACATTACCTCCCCCAAATCTAACTCAACCCCTGCTCTTTGACCCTGAGCTAAGCATGCTGGGAAGTGGGCCCATCCTTCCTTCTTGAATTCTTAAACTGGGTAAGCTTGGGAATGTGCTCCCCCTACAACCCAAAGGGCTTTCCTGCTTGAAAATATGCCGTACTTGCTCCCCAATAAAATTCTCCACACTTTCTTTTCTGGGGAGAGCATTACTCTAGAAAAAAAAGCACCCATATCTTCCTTAGCTCAAGTAGCAAGCCTTTCCCCAAGCTTTCCTCTATTGGCTGTACTTGTTTGGGCTTTGGGCTAAGATGGGAACCCACCGCTTTCCCTCGTCTCGTGGCTCGCCCTAATCTTCCACCCTAGGAAGTCAGCCAGGATGTGCACAGCTCGGGACAAACCAGAGACGATGCCACATTTTCACAAAGAGAAGGATGGTTCTGAGTATCTCGGTGCCTCTCCCACAGAGATGCTTGGATATGAGTGGCTGCCTGGTGGGTGAAGCCCCTGGGAAGGACAGTTTACAGTGTGCCATATCATCGTGGCTGTGCCCACTGCAAACGTAGGTGCTGCTCTGCTCTGGACGGGGTGTCTCTGAAAGCAGACCACAGAGGTTCTACACCTGCTGGAAACTACATGCAGCCCTGGAGGCGGAGCAGTCCCTCTGCCCTCCCATGCCTCAGTGAAAACTCCCTTATGGTGTCTCCCCAACCAAATGATAACTGTCATAGTTCAGGACTGTCTTCTCAGACTACAAGTCCCAGCACTTCCCACACCCAGACTGACAGGGACTCCCCCCAATCATATCAGCTTCCTCTGGCTGTTGGAACAGGGATGGAAAATCTTTCTCTTATGGCCCTGAGGGCTAAATTCAGCTGTTAGCAAGGCTGATTTTTATGGAAGATCTGGGAGAGTCCTTTTATGT